CCCGAGGTGGGCTTAATAACCGGCGACTACTGTAGTACCTATGTGACCCTCTGCACTCATCTGTGTTGACTACCGCCTTGCGAAGGCTCTAGGCAATGCGAACCGAACGCATTCCACTTTGCCCTCGCCCAGCGATCGGTTACGGGACTCATTCGTTCCGTTGTGTCTTCGGGCTCACTCTCTAGCCCGCCAGCAGCCGCAAACCGACTAGCATTAGGGCAGATTGGCATGGCCGACAAAGAAGAGGGAGATTGGAATGATCGTTTCTGGCTTATTAGGCGTTGCCAGACAACCCCAACCAACCCACATAGTGGCGACCCTTGAGGTTCGGACCTTTGTTAGTTGATGTCCAGTATTTTAATCATTTCGTCACGGGCTTGTTGCCTTGCCGGTTCCGATCGAGTATATGCGTAATGATAGACGGGCGCCCACCGATTGGTTACAGGACTCACTTGTCCCATTGTGCCCTGGGGCTCCTTCTCAGGCCCCGTTAGCAGCCGCTCAAGGGCTAGCATATAACATTTCATAGCCTCCGGAGTTGGGTATGGCTGGCTTGAACCCGAGCTCGTGACGCAGTCTGTTTCTAAAACGCTCTTGGGTTGCAGAACCTGAACCCCTCAAAGCAAAGCGGACTGAGCGTCATCCATTCTGCATTTGGGACCGATATATCAACGCCGTTTCCAATGACACTTTGAGTAGTCCTGATAGCGCCCAACAGAATTTTAATCCGCGCGCTCAGTAGGCGTGCATTCTACACAAGGATCGAGTTCACACCGAAACCGGCGGCTGTAGTATGGTTGTCCGAAGACGGCAAATAAATCCTAGATGGCTACTTCACTCTTCCCTGTCGCTGTTGTGGTAATACCTCCCGAGTAAGAATTCCAGCCTGTTGTTCAGTCGACCGCTTCTGTCCCAGTGGACACGTCATCTTGATGTATACCGGAGGGTAAGAACAACAAGAACACAGCAGTGACTGTATGAAATGGGGCTCCAAGGCCTCAAATCATCACATCGGATAGGGGATAGGCCTAAATACCTCGCACTGTGGTAGCTGCTCGAATACTCACGTCTCCCCGACAAAGCATTAAGTCGTCTACAAACGATTTAGTGCCGCCACGCTCATACCGCAATTGGATATCATGTCAACTCCCACAGCACCATGGTCCGCTGCATATGGTTATAGTTACA